TAAAGTTTTACTGAAGCACAGCCATGCTCATTTGCATAGATATTATTTACAGGCTGCCTTTACGACCACAGCAGTTGCCACAGACAGCCCATGGCTTGCAAAGTCCAAAGTATTTACTATCTGGCCCTTTATAGAGAAAGTTTGCCGACACCCTAGTTTAGATTTCTGAGTCACCATATGGAAGACAGCCACCTTGACCTGAACAACACTCTAGTCCTTTACCTAAGCGAAAAATAAGCCACTGAAATTCTGAGTCTGTTTGCTACTCTAATTTACCCTAATCTCACTAACAATTCTTGCTTAGCAGTCATAGGGTGATTGCCTGATGAATGTACATGGCCTGATTTCCAGTTGTTTGAGCCATTGATGGTGACTAGTTATGCCCATAGCCTCACCCATCACAATCTGCAAGATCATCATGAACCAGAAATGGGCTTCAGAGGCTTCAGCCGGACCCAGGCGAAACCTAGGAGTGGCCAGCTCTCTCCTCTACAATCCACCGGCAGGCCAGAATTTCCTCCAGATGCTCTGACCAGTCAGTCCTAGGACCTGATTGACCCCAGGGAGTCTGACCCCCTAGCAATAACCCAGCATCATAAGCCTGGGAAGGTGTAAACATAATACAATTCCTGCCAAATGAACTGAATGATAACATGGAGACATTCCCTGAGGCTCAAGGAAATGACTTTGGTGACAACGACCCTTGCCAAAGCCAATGCCTTGTCACCTACCTGGTGGTCATGATGGTGATCAAGGCTGTCCCTGCTTTCATGTAACTAACTGGCCTTCAATGGTTCACTTTTCCCATTGAGGGCTTTTTTTTTTTTCAGTTATACACTTTTGTAAACTAGCAGTGTTTTTACTGGCATTCTTCTATGTACTTTTACCATCATTTTAATTTTAAAAAACGCAGTCGCACATTTTCCATGCATTCCTCTAATTCATGGAAGGGTATACTGGTCTTGCACTTATGGAAATGGTATAAAGTCTCCTTTTGGAGTGAGCATGTTGAAGTAAAAAGAGTTACTTCATTTAAAGAAAATTGCCCATAGAAATACAGATGATATGCTGATAAGGCAAAAACCATGATATTAGTATGAGAATAACTGAGGTTCCAGAAACACTGCATATCTCTAGGCTGCAGAGGAGAATGTCATAGAATCCTGGATTCATAGAGTGCAGAGCCATGGTGAAGGGTGCCTGGGAGAGACCTTCCCCCAGAGCCACCCCCGTCTTTCCACAAAGAATCCCCAAATGTCACTCAGTGGATTCTCAGGCTTCTGTCTCCCAGTTCAGAGTTTTCCATCACAAAATCTATACCCGATCAATCCCATGGTTCACAGACAAAGCTGAGTGAGGGTCCCAGTAGGACGTGGGCTTGCTGCGGCCCAATGCTGGCTCTAATACGTGCTTTCCATATATCTGCTGAGTAAACTGATGGAGGTGGAAAGGTTTGGGGGATTCATTTGAAGCCCCCAGATATGCCCACTCTCACAATCTTACCCAACTGCTTAGAAATTAAGGCCAGTTCCTAGGATTTTACTTTTCACATCACAGAGTTCCACATGGGAAAACAGACGACATTCCCCGGGGAAAAACAATAACTCCAACCAACTGCCACTTAAATAACAGATGTATTGCTTACAGCTGAAGTCATGCAGGGGAATTATATTTATTAAGCAAAAATGAGATATATTGTGAGGCTTGGTAGGCTTCAGCCTCACCCATCACAATCTGCAAGGTCATGATGAATCAAACATGGGCTTTAGAGGCTTTAGCCAGACCCAGGCAAAACCTAGGAGTGGCCAAAATAATTCTCTGTTTGCAGAATTGGCTAGTGTCACAAGCGGCCATGTGACTGACTAGCGGATTAGGAGAAGAATTAATCCTTACCTTTTTTATTTCACAAACACAGCACCATAAAGTTTTCATAGGCCAAGAGCCAGGGCTGTTATCCAGGTTGCAAAGGCCAGCTGGCTAGGGCAAAAGGCAGGGTGGTTAACAGGCATGTGGGTGTGTGCTGTGCTGAGTGAGTGGCACTAACTTTGCTTTCTACTTAGAAGGACCACCCAGATGGTCTCTTGTGGATAGAGATAGGAATGCTTTTCATTAGCGTGGTGTTTATCAACCAGGTTTCTGTCCTGAGTAAAAGTAAGGGAGGAATCTTAAAGTTCAGGTCAACCTTTGTAGAATCAAATAGCTCTGGAAACGGATTCTCATGCTGTCACAGCATCCTCATTCCCAACACAGAATGCCCCTCATCAGCCTGCACGTGGCTAGAATGAGTGCTAATGAGCATCTCTTTTCGAATTTGGGGTTCCAGAAGATTCACTTCAACTACAACCCATGGCCTTGGGCAAGAACCCATTAGCAGCTCTGGAACTGTCATATGCTTTATGGCTACTGGTTGCCCAAACTTTTCCTGATGCCACTCATGATCTGGCCTGGACAAGGGCAGGCTTGCCAAGTGACTGGGAAAATACAACATGGCTCCCCAGGTACTTGGCTCCCCTCCCTCCCTCCCTCCCTTCCTTCCTTCTTCTTTCTCTCTTTCTTTCTTTTTCTTCCTTCTTTCTTTTTCCTTCTCCATCTCCTCCTCCTCCTTCTTCTTCATTTTCTTCCTCTCCTCCTCCTCCTTCTCTTTTTTCCTCCTTCTCTTCCTCCTCCTTCTTCTTCTTTTTCTTTCTCTTCCTTTTCCTCTTCTTCAGATGGGGTCTTACTAGAACTCCTCTCTCAAGCAATTCTCCCAACTTGGCCGCCCAAAGTGCTGGGATTACAGAGGGGGTGGGGGTTGCCACTGTGTCCAGCCTCCCCGGCCATCTGTAACACTTCAGCCCTACCATTCTCAGCCTGGGTCAGGGAACTGACAAGCCAACTTGCCTTAGATAAGGCTACCAATTAGAACATCTCCCTGATGTATTAAAGCAACAGAAACGGCTGCCAGTCACACTATGCTGGAAAGTCAGAAGACTTGAGTTCTGGTCCTGACTTTGCCATTCAGCTGTGGTGTGACCTTAGGCAGTCCCTCCCCCTCTCTGGGCCTTAGATTCTGTTGGGAATGAAAAGTGGACTTGGATTGAGCCTATGTATTAGTCTACTTAGGCTGCCAGAACAAAATGTCACAGACTGGGTGGCTTACACAACAGAAATGAATTTAAGATGGTGAGATAGCATTAATCTCACGGGCTTATTTTGACAACTGAGATCCTGCATACAAAACTCTCAGCACAGTGTTTGCCACACAGTAAGGTCTCAGTAAATATTTATCGAATGTTTGAAGAAATAAAAGTGGAAAATACAAATAAGTAAAAACGCTGACAAGATTGCAGCCAGGAAATTGCTGTTGTAATGCTAATTAGATGTATAGTCTTCCAGTATTTTCCTATGCAAATAAAGACATATGTCACTAGTAAAATGGGACCATATTATACCTATCTAGATTTTCAAAAAAACTCATTATTTTATTGAAATATTAGTCACATACCATAAAGTTCACCTTTTTAAAGCATACAATCTGGTAGTTTTTAGTATATTCCTAAAGTTGTGCTAACGTCATCATTATTTAATCCCAGAATATTTTTACCACCCCCAAGGTAAACCTCATGCTCATTAACAGTCACTCCTCATTCCCCTCTCTTTCCCCTTCCAAAGGCCCTGGCAATCACTTTCTGTCTCCGTGGATTTGACTATTCTGGAAATTACATACAAAAAGGATCATACACATGTGTCCTTTTTGTGCCTGGCTTCTTTCCTTTACCATGATATTTTCCAGCTTCATCCATGTTGTAGTATGTTGTTCTTATGGCTGGATGATATGCCTCTGCACGCATAGACAACACTATTTACACATTCATCAGGTCATGGACATGTGGGTCCTGTCCACGTTCTGGTACACATTGCTCTTTGTGTACAAGTTTTTGTACAAACCTGCTTTCAGTTCTCTTGGGTAGACACCTAAAAGAGGAATTGCTGAGTCATATGGAAACTTTATGTTGAACTTTTTGAGGAACTGCCTACCCGGCACAATAGCTTATAACCTGTTATTTTCTCCTTTCACAACAGATTCTGACTGTCTTCATTGTTAACAAATAGATGTGCACATACTATATTTTGAGTGAATACATCATATTTCCTTAGCCAGCTGAACCAGAGTGTGTTTAGTGAATTCCCTATTGTTGGACATTTAATGATCCCATGAAAGAGTCTTTAAGTGACTTCCTCGTGTCCCCAGCAGCTTGTAAATGACAGCTTTCCAGGTGGGCCCAGAGCACTCTGTATCCTCCTGATTTGGTGATTTCACATTGCTTTGGCCTCGCCTCTGCTGCTCCTCCCCGCCATCTGTCTTGTTTACCAATGGTGACCCCTTGAGAAGCTGAACCGTGTCTTGAATTGGCCTTTGTATCCATTATATGTGGCCAGGTGCCAGGCGTTTTGATAAATGTTCACAGAATGGATGGGTACATGGATGGATGGATGATTACAGCCAGGGGCTTTGGAGAGATGGAATTCATTTTTACATTTTGTCTAAAAATCCCTGCTTTGGAAAGCAGTGAGTTCTCTGACACTGGAGGTGTGCGGCAGGAGGCCAGGTCAGCTGGCAAGGCGTTGTGAAGCTATTTCAGGCCTCAGAAAGCGGAGTGGATGAAATTTAAGATTGCTTCCAAACGGGAGAGCCTGGAACGTTGTAAAACACAAGCCCTGGGAGCTGAGATGTGTGCTAAGTTACCCAGCTGAGCTGCGGGGCTGTGAGTAGCTCTAAAACTTTCAAGCTTTTTCTTAGGACCTCAGACCAAAGCTTCTCTTTGCCTAAAACATCTGCCTGCTAGCACAGCCTTTGGGGGCCGTCACAGCGCACAGAAGTTAGAGTCCTGCAAGGGAGAAGCCCTGACGTAACAAGCAGGGCGAGTTTGTAGCTCTCTGTAATCTGAGAGCATAGTCCAGCCTGCTTTGATAAAAGAGGGTAGACTGTGGGTGGGCGTGGTTTGGAGGTCCCAATAGAAGCCCAGGGAGATCTGGGGAAAAGGAGGGTGTTTCTGATATTTGACAATGAGGAAATGGGCAGCGCAGGGCAGGCCTGCCCTCTGGGGCTGAACAGCGCAGTCCCTCTGAGTTGCACGGAGACCTCGCAGACCCCGGGAGCTGTCGCCCTTTCAGGATGTGGCTCCGTGCTCTTTTCCTGGCCACCCTCGCCGGTTCCACGACTTGGGGTAGGTCCTTCTGAAATAGAAACGTGCGGGGCACGTTTGGGAATCCTTGTTCTGGGCGTACATGGGCTTAGATGCATAGGCACAACAGGTCCGGCTCCGCGGGGTGCGCGCCCTCCGGACTTGGACTTGAACTTGGAGCAGCTGAGCCCGGGCAGCCCCGGCCCGCGCGGAGACGCAGGGAGGATGGACACCCTGAGGCCGCCCTGCACTGGTCGCCCCACGCAGTCCGGCTGCCGGCCAACCTCACATCACACACACGAGGAATTTAGGCAGTTCAGTTTACTGTCCCCAAAGGAGTCAGTCATGGCCGGATCACAGAGAGCAGCTTAACAGAATATCAAGAGCATCGAAGCCCTGAGCCAGAGTGCATGGGTTTGAGTCCCGGCTGGGCGCTTCCTCGATGTGTGTCCTTAGGCAAGGGACTGAGTGTTTCCGTGCTTGGGTTGCCCCTCTCTGAAGTAGAGGTGGCAGTGCTACCTACCTCACTGGACTCTGGTGAGGAGGAATGGGTCGTTGTTTCTAAAGCGCTCTGGACAGCTCCTGGTGTGGAGAAAGCACAGAAAAGGGAGTGGACAAATAAAGGCGTTGTTAAAAAAAAAGTAGTGTATGAATACAAAATATGAGCTGTGGTCAGGCCGCTATATCAGGACCTCTTGCCATTAAAAAGACAGTTTCTTTCGAATGTTTCCAACAGAAGGGGACACCAGTGAGGTGGGGGATGGGGCACAAGGCAGCAGAGCAGGGGGAGGGGGCGGGGGCAGATCTGAGCCCAAGAGGCTTTTACTGTGGCTTCCATTAGAAAGAAGAGGCAAGGCAGGCAGGCAGGCTGAGGATTGGTGAGTTGGGATAACTCAGGGGGCTCTGGGGCACAGGGGCTGTACCTAGTTGTCTGGGACCTGGCCCTGGCGTGATTAGGGCAGGTGGGTAGTGGCCAGGGCGCGGCAACTGGATCAAAGAGGTGGTTGGGGTGTGGGTTCTGGGTTGGCGGGACCCTGGGAAGGAGAGTTTCTCCAAGGTCAGCAAGGCCTCAGATGTCCGAATACAGAAAGCAAAACACATGGTACATTCAGGGGTGCAGGGAGGGGCCTCTTAATACCCCCAGGGCCATTTTATAGACGGAGAAACTGAGACTCACACAGGGAAATGTACTTGCCCAAGGTCAACCGGGAAATCATGCCTGGGCCTGTCTCTGGGTCGCAATCCTGACAGCCCAGGCCCGGCCTGCACCCTGTCCTCCTTCTGGCAGCCTGACACTGGGAGAGCCCTGAACTGTGTGTAACAGCAGAGGAAGAGAGGAACCCTGTTTGGAGCTGAATATTCCTTTACCTCTGGTTACTCCTGGCCATGCCATCCATTTCCTTCCTTAGGAAATCCATATCGGCTGCTTCCACTTCCTCAATTTCCTCCTCTGTAAAATGGGAATATTGATGCCTACCCAGCAAGGCTTTTTTTGAAGATGCATTTAAACAAACTGGAATGCATGCCTGGCACGGAGTAGGTGCCCACACGGTTTGTGTTTCATATCACATCAGTGGCAACTGCTCTGGTTCCCACTCTTGTTTCTGCCTCCCCCCATTCACCCACTTTTTCACCCTTGGCAATCTGGCTGCCATCTACATCACCTTGTTGAAGGGAATCCTGAGCTGAGAAAGGCCAGCCCAGTGGTTTCCGCTCAGCCTTGTCCCTTCTCCTCTCTGAAGCCCTCAGCACTCATAGCCGGCGCCTCGCCCTCTTCCTCCCTGGGCTTCCAGGACACCGGGAGGTTCTCTCCCCCAAAACTCTAATGGCTCTTCTGCCTCAGTTGTAGTGGTCCCTCTGTTTGAACTTTTGTTTTTTCCCTTTCCTCTCACACTGGCATCTTCAATGAAGCTACACACATTCATGGTGTGCACCCTCACCATCTAGGAGAAGATTCTCCCCTGCTCCCTTGCCAGGCTTCCTTCCAGTATTGAAGTGTGCTCGTCCTATAGTGCCATCTTGCCAGGATATTCCACTGACATCTCCACCAAGCCTGTGAAAACAGGGACCCAGCATCACAAGGAAGCTCTTTGGTCTTCATTACCTTCCATGTTCCCCTAAACTGGTCAGGGACCAATTCTTTCTTTTCTTTTCTATTTTTCTTTTTTTTTTTTTTTTAGATGGAGTCTCACTCTTTCACCCAGGCTGGAATGCAGTGATGCTATCTCGGCTCACTGCAACCTCTGCCTCCTAGATTGAAGCTATTCTCCTGCCTTAGCCTCCTGAGTAGCCAAGATTACAGGCACATGCCACCACATCCAACTATTTTCATAGTTTTAGTAGAGACGAGGTTTTGCCATGTTGGCCAGGCTGGTCTCACACTCCTGACCTCAAGTGATCTGCCCTCCTTAACTTCCTGAAGTGCTGACATTACACCACTTACCTAATGGGTCCTGGTAATTGCTATGTTGTTATGTTGTTAAACATCTTTCTAAGGGACTTCATCTTAGCGTCATTTGTAATTAGCAACAACAATAAAAAAAAAAAAACAAGCTGAATATTCCTCAGTATGGGGTTGGCTGTTAATGAAACATGGATGCTGTTGTGTAACTGGGCTTTGCATAAGGAGTGTCCACTGTGATTGGATATTCCCCTGTAGATCCAAATCTGAATTGCTCTGTCTTATTCTAGCGTCACACTTTAAGGGAGGTGTTGACGTCTTGTCTGCATCCAAAACAGAGCAGCTGGGAGGACAAGAAGCTGGAAATTATTTCCTAGGAGGGAAGCTTAGAAAAATTGAGTTCTCTGGAGCCAGATAGGACCTGAGGGGTGGGCAGCACAATCAAGTGTCTGAAAGGCCACAGGCCAAAGATCAGATCAGGCCACCACAGTCCCATGGCAGGTAGAACCAGGACTGATGCATAGGCTTTTAGAAATGAATTTCAGCTCAATGAGGAAGCATTGTCTGCGCTGCAAGAATGGATCAGACCTGCCCAGGGTCACCAGAAGAATCTTCCTCGACCTAATCATTTTCTTTATCCAGAACAGTTCCTGCTGTTTATTTGTCCACTAAACAAAAGTCAAGCACTTCACCTGGCATTCTAGGCCCTCTCTGACATGCACTCTCTCATTCTAGGATTATTTACCACTCCCCGAAGAGTCCACCTGTTGCACTTGGGCCACGCCCCCTCCTCCAGGCAAGCTCTGCATTCTGCTGCCTCTGAGCCTCAGCACATTCCCTTCCTTCTCTCTGCTCTGTACCACTCCCTGCTTCTCATCTCCCCTTATTCAATCCTTCCCTACTGCAAGTTCCAGCTTCTCCATGATGCTTTCAATCAGAAGGCCTTACCCCTCTTCTAGTTCCTGGACTGCCTTACGGATACCTCTTCCAGGACACAGCCACTTCCTTCCAGCTGCAGGGTCAGGTGTATATGTGACACTTCCCTATCAAAGTCAGTGCTTCTGAGAGTACAAGGCAACTCTTGTTCATCCTCTCAGCCAGCTCGCGGCTCAGTGCCAGGATTCTAAGGGATAAATGTTTCCAGAAGCTTCTAAGGTGGAAGCTAAATGTCTTATTCTTTCCTAGTAGCTCTCCTTCTTGCATTGATTTTTGGCTGGATGTTTTCATGCCTCCAATTCTAATTTGCTCCTTAAACCAGCTCAATGAGTTAGGAAGGACAGTGATCCTCATCCCTATTTTACATCAGGAGAAACTGAGGCCTAGAGGGTTTAGGTGACTTATTCAAGGTCACACACCTAGAAAGTGGCAGACCCCACCTGGAACCTTGTCCAGCCTTTCACCTCTGATGCATTCTGATTTCTTCTCCATATCCAGCAGGGCACCAGTCCTCGCCACCTGTGGTGGACACCATGCATGGTAAAGTCCTGGGGAAGTTCATCAGCTTGCAAGGATTTGCACAGCCTGTGGCCGTTTTCCTGGGAATCCCTTTTGCCAAGCCTCCTCTTGGACCCCTGAGGTTTACTCCACCACAACCTGCAGAGCCGTGGAGCTTCGTGAAGAATGCCACCTCTTACCCTCCTATGTAAGCCAGGGGTGGATTTGGCACATTTCAGCGGGATGTTCGCCTCAGCGTGATATAGGAAGGAGTCAAGGCAGTCCCCCGATGGGCTGATACTTTGCTCTGGAATCCTGAGATCATTGTAGATCCTTAAGAACATTCCAGAACTCTCACAGCTTTCTAGAGTCCATTATTTAACACATGTTTATTGAGCACCTACTGTGTGCTGGGCATGTTCTGGATTCTTGGGATCTATTAGGGAACAAAGCAAAGAGACCCTAGGTTCATGGAGTGTACATTCTAGCAGGGGGAGACAGGTAAGAAACAACACGCAAATTACTCCATGGATGATGTGATATTTTAGAACAGGACAAGTGCCTTGGAAACAAGGAAACAGTTGAGCAGGTGAGGGAGATCAGAAGTAAGGATTCCATGAATTTCCCTGTCTTGAACTTTGGCATAGCTGGGGAGAGGGATGAGTCAGGAGGTGTGTGGGTGGGAAGTGTACTGAGGTGTCCACTCAGCAAGTGCTCAACTCTCAGGTGTGCCCAGCTCCCTGTTCCTGAGGAGAACAATGGCAGGTGTGTGCAGTCACCCTGGCCAAGCTGGGAAGAAAAACCCAAAGGTTCTGATTGGCCTCGCCACCACTCCGCAGTGTACCAAGGACCCCTATAGGCATCAAACCAGACCCCATTCATCTCTGCAGCCAGGTACTTGGGGGGTTTCCAGCAGCCCACCTCTGGCTCGCCTTTTTTTTCAAATAATGTTTACTGTTTTTATTTTTTGACTGCAAATGTAATATATACTTATTACAGAATATTTAGGAAATACAGAGAAGGAAAAGTAAGAAAATTGAAATCACATAAAATATCCCACCACCCACAGAAAATAGCTTGATAGATTCATAGTGGATATTTTAGGTCATAAAGTATTATCATCTAATATTTTGTTTGTATTCCAGGTTTTTTTTGTTTTGTTTTTTTTGTTGTTTTTTTTTTTGCCTATTGCTATCTTTTCTTCCTTTAAAACAGGAAGCTACATTCAGATAATTTGGATGCCTGCTTTGCTCATTTATAAGTATGTCATGAGCATCATTTTATACCATTTAATAGCACAGCATATATCAGCACCTGCATTACATTTGGTATTGAACCATAATTAGTTTCCCCAAGGTTTTATTTGGGGTCATTAAGTTACATATGATGTTTTTGATATTATAGAGAGCACGGTGATAATATTTTGTAGTGAAATCTTTATGTACATTCATAAATATTTTAGGATAAGTGTCCAGAAATGACATTTCTCAGTCAAATAATATATGTCTTTTGTTAAATTTCTCTGCCAAAATATTCCAGCTACACTCCTGCCATTGATGGATGAAAACCTCCATTCAGCAGACTGTTGTCAATGACTGGGGTAATTTAAAAATGTTTTTGGTTATTGGGTAGGCAAAACAACAACAATAATAGCTATATTATTTTCCTCTTTAGTCTGCATTTATCTGAAGACCAGTGAGGTTGAGTTCTTTTTCCCTTTCTTCACATTAGAATGTCTTTTTTATTCATTATCATGCCCCTTGCTCTTGGTGATACGTGGGGAAATTTCCCAGGATGAGAATCAAGAAGTCATCTTTACTGGCCCCAATTCTGTCACTTGACAGCTGTCATCCTGGAGCCTGAGTGCCTCAGTTTCCTCATGTACATAGTGGGGGCAGTGATGCCTGCCTCCTGCTACATTGAGATCTGGGGCTGTTGCTTATAATATACTTGTGTATAAGCACCACGTGGCATGGATCTTCCTGGCTATGTGATGTACGTCAGGTTCTCCAGCCTCTCTGGGCTTGTTTTCTCATCTATAACATGGAGATAATAGAACCTATGTAATGGGACTGATCTGAGGCTTAGATGAGTTAATACACAAAGAGTACTTAAAACAGTGCCTGGCGCACTGGGAGGACTCAGTAACTATTGCACATGTTCATCTATGTTCGATCTTTGAGCCCTTTCAGCCCTTGCCTGGGATGGGTTGATAGTCAAATCTTGGTATGTGAGGGCTGCAAGACCCATGTAGAAATACTCCCCTCACTTAGACCTGGCAGATTGGGACCCAGAATGTGAAAGGAATTCACCCAAAATCACCTCGTAAATGCATAGCAGAGAGAAGATTAGAGCACAGTTTTCCTGATGTTGTCCCACAAAGATTTCACCCCTGAGCTATTGCGGGAAATGTCACCTCCTAGGGAAGATCAGTGTATTGTTTGTTGCCTTTTCTTGGTGCTGGGAGTCCCAAAGGCTCCAGAATGGGAAGGGGAGTGAAGCCCTTCTCACTCTGCTTGGTCTCAGGAGACTTTAATGAGTCCTAGCCCCACTACCTGAAGGCTCTGATAGCCTCCTACCCATTCCAATATATTCAGTTTGTAAATATCAAGTCATTTTCAGGCTTAAACCTCCAAGTCCTTGGTGCTGCACCAGAAGACAGCTGGCTTAGATCCACTGAACTTCAGGGGTTCTTCTTTTCCCCTACCCAGGTGCTCCCAAGATCCCACGGCAGGGCAGTTTCTCTCTGAGCTCTTTACCAACCGAAAAGAGGATATTCCTCTCAAGTTTTCTGAAGACTGTCTTTACCTCAATATTTACACTCCTGCTGACTTGGCCAAGGAAAGCAGGCTGCCGGTAAGCCGTGGGATCCCCTGGTTGAGGCGTGTCAGTTCCAGTTCCCCGGATCTTCTGGGCCACACCAGAAGGGGGTGAAGGCAGCTTGGGGAGGGGGCTGCAAAGGCCAGGATTGTTTCAGGGACCCCAGGGCCTCCACGGGAAACACAGGTTTTCCACACCTCAGTTTCCCCTTGTGACACAGGGCCTCTGGGGGAATCTGCTGTACATCTTTAATGCACATCTTAATTGTTCCAAGTTCCCTTATGCTAATGAAGGATGAGAATGATTACTTTTAGTTACTAGATTAAAAATCTGATACCCAGAGTGGGCAAGACATGATGTCCAATAATGTTAGAGGTGGAAGAGACTTAGAGAAAAGCCAACACCCCAACTCTTCCATTTCAGATAGAGAAACTGAGGCCCAGACAGGAAAGGAGAGGTCGCCAGTAGGGTAGTTTTTGCTCAAGTCTTCTGATCTTCAAACCAGTGCTTTTGACTTGGAGTGGGGCATTGAGCTCGTATATGGCCTTTCTGCAGCACACCCACATCCATCTGGGGTAACTTTCACTGTCTGGGTATGGGTGTTGGGGGCAGAGCCTGGAAAATCCCAGGAGCACTTCCTTTTGCCTTTGGCCAAATATCTGGGATTTTCTTGTACCTAATTTCCTCCCTAATTGTCTTGGCAAAGACTGATAACCCAATGTGTTAGCATTTCCCGAATAAACAAAGGGCAAGAGATAGGGCAGGCTGCCAGCTGCAAGTTGGAGGGTAGGGAGGTCTGCTGGCAAAGAAGGCCACCCCAGGGTGGAATAAAGGGTGTCGCATCCAGCGGCATCATGGCGTGGTGCCCAGGAGTGAGAGAGCAGGTCTGCGAACGTGGGACTAGAAGTTGTCCCTACAAGTGCTTCGTAAGACACAGGAAGTGGGAGAAAGGGTTACTCACTCACTCATTCATTCATCTATTGTGTACTTGGTGCGCCATATACACAGTTAGACTCGGGGCTTTAGGGGAAAGAGGAACATCAACCCACTCCACGCAGCCCCTGCCTTCAAGGATCTTGCCATCTGGGCTGTAGAGTCATATTCTCCCTTCAGCAGGTTATTGCAGGCCAGCCCTCGGGTCAGCCTTCACACAAAGATGGATGCATGCTCAGTCCCTCCCCAGGAGGCAGCAGGCATTAGAGGTGTGGGAGAAACAGGGCTCTGGGAACCTGGAGGTGGGAGAACCTCCAGGAATGGCCACAGGTTCTAGAACTACACATGCTTAGAACAGCACCTGGTACATAGTTATGAGTTCTTTTATATTTTATTAATAATATTACTACAATATTATTATTTTAGCCACTCTTCTTCCTTGATATGTGGACTTTTAAAATGAGAGAACCTTGTGTTAGAAATTGTATCCACTCTCATCCTCGGGTATTCACTTAGTTCCTGATGCATAGTAAGATCTCAGATAGTGCTAGTCAAATGATTGAAGGCATCCTGGAGGGCGTGCGTTTTAGGGTGGGATTTTCAGGGTAGATAGAATTTGGGGATGCAGAGGCATAAAGGAGGTATTTGAGGAAGAGACACCATCACAGGCATGTGTGCTTCTCAAGACAATCATTCATGCACAGAAAAGTTTAATTCACCATGAGTGAGTTAACTGAGATGAAGCTGAGTTATGAGGGCTGCCCCATGGGTACGCTGAGCTGCATGAACAGTCCAGGCTTGAGGGTGATAGAAGTGAGGGGGAGAATACAACATCCTTAGCCTTTGCTGTGCCCGTGATGGTGTTCTCCGTGTGAAGAGCCTTTGGAGGAGGTGGCACTGGAGGCTGGGTAAAAGGAAGGGGCAGCCAGGGTGTGTACAGTGGGGTGGTGGTTTGAGCCCCAGTTTGGAGAATTATAGAGGAGAGAGACTGCCTTTTGCAAACTTGCTGGGCGCTGGCGAACTTTGGGTAACATCCTCTTTCAGTTGTGACCTAAACAAGGCACCCTCTGGGTGCTCCCTGGCTCTGCGCCCTGTAACTGGTCTGTTGCTTCCCCCCTGCCCAGGTGATGGTGTGGATCCACGGAGGGGGGCTGTTGCTGGATGGGGCATCAACCTATGATGGGCTGCCCCTTGCTGCCTATGAAAACGTGGTGGTGGTGACGATTCAGTACCGTCTTGGCATCTGGGGATTCTTCAGGTAAGAAATTGGACTCTCCTCCCTGCACTTTGGCCCCCACCATGAGGAAGCTAGGACCCAGCTCTGGTCATGTCAGCCCTCAGGGGACCTTAGCTGGGTTCCTCAGCAAAGCATCAAAGCACCTTCATAAGTGGATACTACCTACTCTCTCATTCCACAGCCACACTCATCCACTTGCCTCTGAGCTTTTGCATGTGCTGTTCCCTCTGCCTGGAATGCCTATTCTACCTGATGAACTCCTCTTCATCCTGCAAGACCCAGCCCCCA